AATAAGAAACCATGAAAGGCTCCAGATTTTATTAGGTTTTCTTCAAATATTATTGTCACCTGACATAACAAGTGTATTACTCTCCGTAATAAAAATTCATGCCACCTCGCAATGCAAAAAGATGTAATACAGTATATGCTGAATACACAATACAATGAATACAATACAATATACTGAAATAACCACTCAACCAAACATACAAAACGAATAGCATTAGTGATCAAAATATCAATGTTAAACTATTTTATCAATTCAGCGGTGTTTATCAATATACAATTTTAAATAAAATATACAATTTTATTGTCATTAGATAAACATTTAAATATCCATATACAATTTTGAACAAAATATTTGAATTCGACTGACAAATTTGGACTAACCACATACATGAATAATTTTCAAAATACCTACCAAACTATATTAAATTACAACAAATTGATTACATAATCATATAAATCAAATTATACTATTTCTGAAATTTTCAAAAGAAACCAAATAACATCCGAATTAAACGGATTTTGTTTCCACAAAACAATAATAATATTCACCAAAATAAGATACTGAAACTCAATTAATGAAGATTTTAAAAAACCATAAAATAATAATAAACATTAATAGTAAGATAAATGTTCATAACAAATGAAATTGCACCAGAACAAAAGCAAAAGAAATTAACGTTTTGCTGAATATTTAGTGATGATTTGCTGTTGTTTATCTAATGACATTTTACTAAACCAGTCCAAAATGCGTTCTTCAGTTCGACGACCCGGCTTCTTTCGCACTGCCGAGCGACTGATTCGCTGCGGTACTGGCATAGTTTCTGGATTTTTTTCAACGCTTCCACTTCGATGACGACGATTCATCAGTCTGGAGGCACTCAAACGTCTGCGTAATGCTTTATCTCTAGCGCGTTGTCTCGAATTACTGCGATAACGATACGACGGATTCTTCATAAACTGATCAATTGCTTTCTGATTGTGTTTCTGGCCTCGTTCACGTTCTTTTGATTGTTGTGGTTGATTGGGTGCATCAGACTGATATCTTTGCGATATACGAGTTTGAGCTAGTCGAGAACGAGGAATGGTTTGTGGATGCGAGTCGAAGGTGACTGCTGGACGTTGCTGGTGAGCGGGTAAACGATAAACACGTTCCACCCCTCTGCCTGCAGTACTTGGGGCACATCTAGCGATATGTTGCGCTTGTTCTCGTGGAGTATTATTCCTGTTTGGTGGTTTTGTTGGATTATTGTTACGATTTGACGAAGTGATGATGCCTAGTGTTGGTAGTTTTTCACTTGGCCTACATGTTGTTGGCGATAGAATCGGGGATTTTTTGGCAGTTAGTTGCTTGATGAATTCTAAATAGTCATTGCTGGGCGATTGCAGGAACTGACGATGTAAAGGAATTTCATCTTGATCTTGAACATGCTGATAATTCTGCGCCTCATTCGTGCGGCATTCGATGGGATCCTCTTGAGCTGTTTGATAGGAGGATTCCTTATCAGTTGATAGACTCTCCTTGTTCTTATTAGTACTGCCATGGTCGTTATTCAGTAGATCAGATGCGAAATTATTTCTGTCGCCGTAATGACCATTATGAATATTTTCGTGATCTGGTCTATTTTTGTCTTCTGGTTGATTTCTCTCGACAATACCCTCTTCGGTTTCACTTTTAAAGCGACGAGAACTATCTCTAGCGTACTTTGTAAACGATAATTTATGAAGTCCTCGTC